GCCCCATGGGGAGCCCCACCGAAGACCCCAATGTCAAAGTACGCATGCAATTCCACCCCTATTTCGGCGCACTCCTCACACGGTTCGTGGCCCCATAGGGAGCTCCACCGAAGGCCCCAGTGGCAAAGTTCGCATGCAGTTCAACCAAAATTTCGGCGCACCCATCACCCGGTTCGTGGCCCCATAGGGAGCTCCACCGAGGGCCCCAGTGGCAAAGTTCGCTCCAATTCCACACAATTTCGGCGCATCCCTCACACGGTTCGTGGCCCCATGGGGAGCTCTACAGCAGGCCTCAGTGGCAAAGTTCGCATGCAGTTCCACCCCCGTTCCGGCACACCCCTCACACTGTGCGTGGCCCCATGGGGAGCCCCACCGAAGGCCCCAGTGGCAAAGTTCGCATGCAGTTCCCCCCCTATTTCGGCGCACCCCTCACACGGTTCGTGGCCCCACAGTGAGCTCCACCAAGGGCCCCCGCGGCAAAGTTCGCATGCAGTTCCACCCCCGTTTCGGCGCACCCCTCACACGGTTTGTGTGGCCCCATGGGGAGCTCCACCGAAGGCCCCAGTGGCAAAGTTCGCATGCAGTTCCACCCCCATGTCGGCGCCCCTCGCGCGGTTCGTGGCCCCACAGGGAGCTCCCCCGAAGGCCCCAGTGGCAAAGTTCGCATGCAGTTCCACCCCCATGTCGGCGCCCCTCGCACGGTTCGTGGCCCCACAGGGAGCTCCACCGAAGGCCCCAGCGGCAAAGTTCGCATGCAGTTCAACCACATTTTGGCGCACCCCTCACACTGTTCGTGGCCCCATATGGAGCTCTACTGCAGGCCTCAGTGGCAACATTCGCATGCAGTTCCACCCCCATTTCGGCGCACCCCACACGGTTCGTGGCCCCATAGGGAGCTCCACCGAAGGCCCCAGTGGCAAAGTTCGCATGCAGTTCCACCCCCATTTCGGCGCACCCCTCACACGGTCGTGGCCCCATAGGGAGCTCCACCCAGGGCCCCAGCGGCAAAGTTCGCATGCAGTTCCACCCAAATTTCGGCGCACCCCTCACACGGTTCGTGGCCCCATGGGGAGCTCCACCGAGGGCCCCCGCGGCAAAGTTCGCATGCAGTTCCACCCCCGTTTCGGCGCATCCCTCACACGGTTCGTGTGGCCCCATGGGGAGCCCCACCGAAGACCCCAATGTCAAAGTACGCATGCAATTCCACCCCTATTTCGGCGCACTCCTCACACGGTTCGTGGCCCCATAGGGAGCTCCACCGAAGGCCCCAGTGGCAAAGTTCGCATGCAGTTCAACCAAAAATTCGGCGCACCCATCACCCGGTTCGTGGCCCCATAGGGAGCTCCACCGAGGGCCCCAGTGGCAAAGTTCGCTCCAATTCCACACAATTTCGGCGCATCCCTCACACGGTTCGTGGCCCCATAGGGAGCTCCACCGAGGGCCTCCGTGGCAAAGTTCGCATGCAGCTCCACCCCCATATCGGCGCACCCCTCACACGGTTCGTGGCCCCATAGGGAGCTCCACCGAAGGCCCCAGAAGCAAAGTTCCACCCCCATTTCGGCGCACCCCACACGGATCGTGGCCCCATGGGGAGCTCTACAGCAGGCCTCAGTGGCAAAGATCGCATGCAGTTCCACCCCCGTTCCGGCGCACCCATCACGCGCTCGTGGCCCCATAGGGAGTTCCACCGAAGGCCCGAGTGAATGGCAAAGTTCGCATGCAGTTCCACCCCCGTTTCGGCGCACCCCTCACACGGTTCGTGGCCCCATGGGGCAGTGGCAAAGTTCGCATGCAGTTCCACCTCCATGTCGGCGCACCCCTCACAAGGTTCGTGGCCCCATAGGGAGCTCCACCGAGGACAGTATTTACCACTGCGTTACTCACAACTGCACATGGTTGGGTCCTTCGCCGAGATATTTTTTCGCTCTCGTGGTCCCCCCCACTCTTGAGGGCCAAACGACCACATGTTGGATGCTCCGTCGTGGGTGGCCCGGACACGTGAAAACACGCGGGTCCCTTTCGCGCCTGAGCGGAACAAGCGTGAACACACGTTGGTCCCTTTCGCGCCAGAGCGGAACAAGCGTGAACACATGTGGGTCCATTTCGCTCCAGAGCGGAGCAAACGAGAAACCACGTGCGCCCCGCTCGCACCAGGGAGGAGCAAGCGTGAAAACGCGTGGGGCCCTGTCGCGCCAGCGCGGGACAAACTGGAAAACACATGGGTCCTCTTCGCCCCCAGAGTGGAACAAGTGTGAAAACACTGGTTCCTTCCGCCCCAGAGCAGAACAAGCGTGAAAACACGTGGGTCCACTTCGCCCCAGGGCGGAACAAGCGTGAACACACGAGAATCCCTTTCGCCGGAAGAGGCCTCCCCAGGAGGCATCCCCAGGGCTGCAGGACGGAACGTGTCAAGTTATCCCACATGTGGTATCGATTCATTCATTACCAACCATCCTGTGGTGTTGGGTCCTCGTTTTGAAGAGACGGTCCCCACGTTCCCTCCCTCCCTCCTTCCTTCCTCCTCCCTCGTCCTCCTCCTCCTCCTCCTCCTCCTCCTCCTCCTCCTCCTCCTCCTCCCCTCCTCCTTCATCTCTGCGCTTCACCCACCCAGTACAGCGTTTAGTAGCCCCAGAAGGAGCTCCACCGAAGGCCCCAGTGGCAGGGTCCGCATGCAGTTCCACCCCAATTTCGGCGCACCCCTCACATGTTTCGTGGCCCCATAGGGTGCTCCGTCCGAGGCCCCAGTGGCAGGCTCCGCATGCAGTTCCACACGGATTTCGGTGCACCCCTCACACGCTTCGGGGCCGAACATGAGCAAAAATTGCCCGTCCTGATTTTTTCACGACGCGATCATGTCTGGGACTGAATCCCTCCTGCAGAGGGACCGGCCCGACTTCCAAAATACGTCGGACCCCCGCGAGGCTTTCTTCTCTCGCCAGCGGTGCCGCGCCGCTCGTCCCCCCGGCGCGCGGGGGCTCGCGCCCCCCCTGGCGGCGCTCCGAGGCAACGCCCCGGGCGCCGCGCCGGGCGGGTCCCTCGACAGGAGGGGGATTCATAAAACAATCAAAACATAGTCTTGGGACGATGCTTTCTTATTATTATTATCATTATTATTATTGTTATTACCATTATTATTAATTACATTATTATTAATTACATTATTATTATTACCATTCATCTTATTATTATTACTATAATTATTATCATTACTATTATTATTTTTATAGTATTATTATTAGTATTATTATTATTGTTGTTATTTTTATTGTTATTGTTAGTATTAGTATTATTAGTATTATTATTATTATTATTAGTAGTAGTATATATATACATATATACTAAAGCATCTGTCATCCAAGACAACTTCTCCAAAGAAAAACAATACTTCACTTTTCGTCCAAGATCCGCCTGTCGGGGGACACGCCCGACCTAACCCTGGCGGGCCCCAGGGAGCCGATCCGAGAAATCCGCGCGGAGATCTGGCAGTTTACAGTGCGGGCGCGGCCGCAAGAAGCCCTCGCAAGAAACCCAACCCTGAAAACCCGCGCTCGAGGTGCGTCTGAGAGGAAGCCCGGAGCACCCTGAACGCACCAGCTTCTTAACGGCCGCGGGACGTCACCGCGCAGCGCGCGGATCGAAGGAACCCAGGGCTCCCTGGGGGAAAAACTGTGGTTTGTTGATGCTCGACTACACTGTAGGGTCAGGCAGCTTTCTGTCAAGGGGCCCAAGGACACACACACACACACACATAAATACACACAAATAACAGGATCCCCCACATTTTTGCTATATTCCCTGGGTTCTTGTCTTTCCCCCCACTTCCCATAGTTTGCCGAATCTGATAGGGGAATCGACGAGTAAGTGTGCCTGTGTTTTTGTTTCCCCCTCCTGAGGCTCCTCGATGGCCAGGGCAGCCGCAGGAAGTCCCGTGCCTGGGGCCCTCGTACCTCGGCGCGCCGTCGCTCGGACGTCCCTTCCCCGTGCGCTGTTCGAGCTCGTGCGCGTTTTTTTCGCACACAATGCAGCATGCGCCTCGATGCCCTCTCCTCCTCCTCCTCCTCCTCCTCCTCCTCCTCCTCCTCCT